TATATCCATCTCTTTTTAATTTGGACCATCTATCGCGTTTGATTTGGACCGTCTGATCGCGTTTAAATAGAAAATAAATATGGACCGTTCATCGTGATTTGATCCGAACCGTACAATCGTGTTTAAAGAAAGAAAGAATATAGATCGTCCATCACGTTTAATCGCGACCGTCCGATTACGTATGAGAAGTGAACAGATCCGGACTGTCCACACATGCGGGAACAAATCTGGACTGTCCGATCGCGGGCATGCAAATCGCCAGCGTGGCCTCCCGCGTGATACCGCATCAGCGTGCCTTGTCACGCGGCATGCTCCAGTTCGTCGAGCATGCTGACTGGGGGGTCCTATGTGGTATATTTTTCTTAAATTATGTTTTGGTCTCTAATTTCTGATTTTTCTTTCAAAAGCACCCATTTCTCTCAAAATTATTTTCAATTTCATCCTACACCTATTTTTTCCTAATTTTTACATTAAATAAAAATTCATAAATTAAAAAATAAAAATTTTATACATTAATTTTAAACTTTTTACAAATTAATTAAGAGTATTATAACTCTCCTCTCCTTAAAAGAAATTTGGTTCTTCAAATTTATTTTTCTCTCACTCAATCAAACAGTTGAGGATATTGGGCTTTGAATTTACTTCTAGCTCCCATGTAGCGTCTCCCTGTGTGTGGTTATGTTATAGGATCTTAATAAAGGAAATTTTCTGGTTGCAGAGTACTTTGTTCTTTCGATCCACAATACCCACCGGTATCTACTCGTATGATAGATCTTCTTAGAGCAAAAAGGTCTCATGGGCCAAGATGTGAGAGGAGTCCGGATTGTACTTGCGTAGCATGGACACATGGACTCTTAATAGTTCTAGATGTAGTGTCAGTTTGTAGGCAGCGGTGCCAATTCTATCTAAAATTTTAAATGACCCAATAAACCAGAGATTTAGTTTCTCTCCCTCTTGTCAAACCTACTAATTCCTTTGAAATGAGTGACCTTAAGAAACACTCGATCACCTTTCTCAAATTCTAAATTCCTCCTCCGAGTATCCGTATAACTGTTATGTCTGCTTTGAGCCGTATGAATGTATTTCCTAATCTTAACTATTTTTTTTGTAATCTCCTCTATAAGATCTGAGCCGAATAATTTTCTATCACCCACTTCTTCCCAACAGATCGGCGATCTGTATGGACAGCCATACAACGTCTCATATGGAGTCATACTAATACTTACTTGGTAGCTGTTATTGTAGACGAACTCTATTAGGGGTAAATGATCATCCCAATGGCCTTCAAAGTCAAGAACACAAGCTCGAAGCATATCCTCCAATGTGTGGATCGTCCTTTCTGATTGTCCATCAGTCTGAGGGTAGAATGCAGCACTAAGGGACAGTTTTGTTCCCATGGCTTGTTGAAAATTAGACCAGAACCGAGAAATGAACCTGGGGTCCTTGTCGGAAACTACCGTCGCTGGCACTCTATGTAATCTAACTATCTCCCGAATATACATTTTTACTAGTTTGTCCAAGGGGTCCGTAGTCTTGATAGCCAAGAAGTGGGAAGACTTGGTGAGTCAATCAATAATTACCCAAATGACATCATGTCCTGAGTGTGCCCTAGGCAATCCTGTCATGAAATCTATTGTGATATGTTTCCACTTCCGCTTCGGAATTGGTAATGGCTAAAGTAGCCCACCTGCTCGTTGATGCTCTACATTGACTTGCTGACATACCAAACACTTGAAAACAAAATCAGTCACATCTCTTTTCATCCCGTTCTACCAAAATTAGGGTCACATACTTTGATACATCTTAGTACTTTTGGGATGCATGATAAACTTTGAGCTATGAGCCTCTGTCATAATATTCTTTTCAGCTTACTGTTATCTAGAATACACACCATGTCTTGAAATCTAAGCAACCATCGGCAGAGAGTCAAAATTCTGAATTAACTCTCTATTATGCATCTTTTTTGAGAGCTGCTAGGGTGGAATCGACAGATTGGGCTTCCTTTATTCTCCGAATCAACTCAGGTTAAACAGTCACGTGGGCCAAACATGTAACTCTCTTCAGGTCCTGAAGGCGTACCTGTTGTGCAGCCCCTATTTTTTTGCATTCTAAAACCATCAAATGAGCTAATGTACCTGCACTTTTTCTGCTGAGTGCGTCAATTACCACGTTACTACCCAGGTAATACAAGATGTTGTAATCATAGTTCTTGGGGAGTTATATCCATCTTCTCTAACGCACATTGAGATCTTTTTGAGTAAATATGTATTTCAAGTTCTTATGGCAGGAATAGATCTGAAATATCTTGACTTACAAATAATGGTGCCAAGTCTTCAAAGTGTGGATAATCACAGCAAGTTCTAAGTCACAGGTGGAGTAGTTTTTCTCATGACTCTTCAACTGCCTGGACCCATAGGTTATGACTTTCCCATGCTGCATCAGAACACAACCCAACCCTAAGTAGGAGGTATCACTATAAACTGTATATCCACTTGACCCACTCGACAAGCCAACACAGGTGCAGTAGTCAATCGTTTCTTTAGTTCTGAAAAATTCATTTCACAGTTCTCGTTCCACTCAAACTTGACGTTCTTCTTTGTGAGCCGAGTCAGATGAGCAGTTAAGCTAGAAAACCCTTCCACAAACCTGCGGTAATAACATGTCATCCGTAAAAAGCTACGGATCTCCTTGATCGAGGTTAACTTTTCCCAGCCTAGTACTACCTCAACTTTTTCGGGATTCACTGACACTCCATCCTTTAATATGATGTGCCTTAAGAAGGTAGTCTACTCGAGACAAAACTCACACTTACTTAACTTTGCATACAACTTCTTTTCTCTTATAACCTACAAAACCTGAGTCAGATGGTGAGCGTGTTCCTCTCTACTTTTTGAATAGATCAAGATATCATCGATGAATACAATGACGAACTGATCCAAGAATTGTCTGAAAATCATGTTCATCAAATCCAAGAAGATTGTTGGTACATTGGTTAGTCCAAATGAAATGATTAGGAACTCATAATATCCGTACTTAGTTCGGAAAGCTGTTTTTAGAATATCTTCTGTCTTAATCTTTACTTGATGATAACCTAAACGCATGTCTATTTTGGAGAAGACCTTAGCACCCTGCAACTAATCAAAAAGATCATCGATCTTGGGGAGGGGGTACTTGTTCTTGATCATAACCATGTTTAGTCCTCTGTAGTCAATACATAACTTTAACGTCTCATCCCCCTTCTTTGTAAATGTGACTCCAGCACCCCAAGGGGACACACTATGTCAGATGAATCCACTATCTTGCAATTCCTTGATCTGTTTCCTCAACTCCTCCATCTCAACACGACCATGCAGTAAGGGGCTGAAGGTCTATGGTGAATTCAACTTATCTGTCCACTGGCAGTTCAGGTAGTTCATCCAGGAACACATTCGAAAAGTTTCGAACTACCGGAATCTCTTGAATTTAAATTTCTTTTTTGGGTTTGCCTAGTTAGAGAAAATAGTCTGGTTAAAATACTTGATAATAGAAAAATTTTCCATGAAGGAACAAATGTTAAAAAATTTTATTAATTTATAAACGACTCCTCATTAGGAGAGTTGAATACAAGCTTCTTATGAAAATAATTTACGGTGGCGTGATACGCCACTAGTTAGTTCATTTTTAAGATTACATCAAAGTCCCTCGTGTAAATTTCTATTAGGTTCATATTCAATTTTTTATCTGCTATATCTATGACACAAGCTCTGTATATAACCTCTCACAGTAGCATTCTACTCTCAGGAGTAGACACGAACAACACATAATCAAGTTTTTCAGCTAATATATTCAAATTTGATGCAAAAGCATGTGAAACAAATAAATGTGAAGCAATTATAATTAGAAGTAAAACAAATTGGTGAACATATTCAAGAAGGAAATGAAAAAAAAAAAGAATTCAAAATGACAAATTTGTGAAAAATGTGTATTTCCTTGGAATAAAAATATACCAATGTGAAGATAGAGTATATTCTAATTAAGGAAAGTATGTAAGAGAGGTTCTAAAGAAAGTTGAAATAAAAAAGTCCGAGACAATTTACACTCCCCTAATTCAAAATGAAATTTTAACAAAGGAAGACAGGAGCAATGAAAACATATGCAAATTTGTATAGAAGCTTGATTTGTTATTTACTCTATTTAACAACCACTAGGTTGGACATCATGTGTAAAGCTAGTTTTCTCTCAAGATTCTTTACAATCTCCAAGCGAACTACATTTCATGGCTGGGAAAAGGTTTTTAAGGTATATGAGAGGGACTTCGATTATTGAATTTATTATGGTAGGAATCTTGAAGTTCAATTGATGGGGTTCACTTATAGTGATTGGAGAGGTTCTATGGATGACATAAAAAGCACTTGTGGTCATGTTTTTCACGTTACATCAAGTATGATAAGTTATAATCAAAGAAAGAAAAAATAATAGCTTATTATAAAATCGAGGCAGATTATGTGGTTGTAGCAAATGCAATGAATTTTATTAGAAACGTGCTTAATGACTTTGATTAGAAACAAAATAAGCCTAAAATCAAATTTTGTGAGGTTGGGCAAATAAAAGAATTTTGTTTTCCTCTTCTGTCTATGTATATATATATATATATATATATATATTTATTCAAATAGAGAAATATAAAAAATGGAAACATAAATATAGTCTTAAATCTTTTACAATTTCAAGCCTTATTAACAAATCTTTAACTTTAGGTCCTTTTTTTTTAATTAAATTGATTCAATTGTTATGTAAAATAACAAAACTAACGAAAATACAGATATAGTCTTACGTCTTTTTATGATTCTATACTTAGTAATAAATAAGTTGATTCAATTACAATATAAAATAACAAAATCAATCAGCTGTAGCCATTGTCAACTGACCAGTAATTGAGCTTTTTCCGCTCAGGATTTGTAGCTTGCTTCTCATGTAATACATACAAATATATATATATATATATATATATAAACATGAATAACGAAATCTAATTATTCGAGTACTTATGGAATTATCGAAGCCACCATGTATCCCGATCATCACATTTACCGAAAAAGCAAAACCTAAAAGCCAGAATCTCCATCCCTACAACTTTTTCCCTAGGATGTGCAAGAGACCCACGACAGAGAGGACAGGTCGAACGACCGTATTTTTCCCACCTCTGCAAACAGCCGCCATGAAAACGGTGGTCGCATCTCAGTTCTCTAGTCTCCTCTCCTCCTTCAATCTTCATTAAACACACTGCACATGTTTCACCTTCTTCTTCTTCACTGTTCATAGTTTCCGCACCAGCTTCTGCATGAAACTCGGGAATAAACGGTAATGAATCAAGAAATTTCATGCCCATTTCAAAATTCGTAGGAATGATCAGTAGCTTTCGGCAGATGCCAAAGACGAAAATGGGAATAAGAGAGAAAGTTGACAAGGTAACTGCGAACATACTGATTCTTCTTCTTCTTCTTCTTTTTTCTTCTTCTTACTCTCTCTTTTTTTACTTTCTTGATCTGGCAAGATAAGGCTGGTTGGAGAGGAGGCATGTGACAACATGCATATAAATATTGAAGAGATCTGCTGACCCATAATCAATCAGATGAGATATTAATTGGTTAATTAAATATTAGATATATGATTAGGTAGCAACCGGGTGGAACTTTCTTCTAAGCTAATTCATTCGTTAATTATTGTATCATTAAGAGAATCTTATGATTAATTAGCGAAAATTCCCTCCATTTGCAGAGCTTGCTAGCCAGTTTTTACCACTTCTATACAATTCAGTACTATACTAGCATTAATTTATCTTTAAAATGAGGGTTGATAGTGATCTCTTTTCTGCCTATTAAACCACGTGATATATATGTATATATATAATATATACATATATAGTATCATTAGAATTTAGTGTTGTTAGCAATTTTTATTTTTCACTTATTAAAAGTTGATATAACATGTTGGTCTAATTATTTGAGGGATTTGTTTTCACAAACATATTAATAAGTACAACCACCTTATTAAATTTATATATAAGAAATAATTTATTATATGATTTGT